GATAGGGGGAGGCTTAGCAACTACGAGGGTGTGTGTGTGTGTGTGTGTGTGAAACCCTGTCTGAGAGAGAGAGAGAGAGAGAGAGAGAGAGAGAGAGAGAGAGATCAAACCCAGGGCTTCATTAAGTACATATGGTAGGTAACACTGACCTGCACCCCCAGCCCTAAGGGACCACTAGGACATCTTGCCACCAAGCTGCTTACTTTCCTTGCTGTTCTGTGCTCTGTAGGCTTCTTTCTGTTGTCCTGGCTTAGGCAGGTACAGGGCAGGCAGTCCTTACGCCATCTTCCGTTTCCGATGTCCCTGGCCACACCTTCCATTTTTAATTTGTGATCTCCAAGATTGTGTGCACATTATTTCATTACTTTGTTCTGATTCATTTATACCATCCGTGTTCTTTCTTTTCTTACAGATTGTGATATCTTTAGTCTGAATTTTTAACTGGAATCAGAACTGGATGTTTGGGTCACTGTTTATTGTACCACGTGATTGCCTAATTCAAAATTCCCCTCCCAAAAGTTGAAACTAGTTAATATAATTTTTTAATGTTAAATACAGATGTGTAGATACGTGAAAACTTTATTCTGGCAGCCATGTTGGACAATGTGTTTAAAGAATTGTGAATGCTCGGGATGCCGTACCTACCTGCTATTGCAATATAAAGTGCTGAGTCAGCCCTGCTACCTGTACAGTAATTTGGTTACTAACAGAGTTGTGAATGAAACTGTGAAAAGAAAAGGACTTTCTGGACTTCAGTTGAAAAATGTGATGTTAATATTGCTCCTGTCTTCTGATAGAACTTTCCATTTCCTGCATCACTGTAAATAGACAGGCACACACACCTTTTATTACAGTAATGCTTCTGTAAATGTCTTCGTCCCATTTGTTGAAAATGGTGTAATCTTAATAAACAATATATATTCACTTATATATACATATATTTTTAAACATTGGCTTTTTCCAGCGAGCTACTATGTTTACTGTACAGTGAAAAGTTTTAATACTATAGCTTAAAGATTTCTTAATTGTTAATTTTCTTATAATGCTTGCCAAGGGTGAGTGAACGAGCAGGGCTGCTTCCCCAGACTGGCCTTGGCATCCACATAGAGTATCATTGTCTCAGAAATGAAGGGTGCTTAATTGTCCCCTTTTCTGTATTCTGTAGGTCTCATAACAACAAGCTGCAGTCTGCCGCTCCTTAGAGCTCAGCGTGTCACTAAGCGAGACACAGTGAGAGTCTGGTGGTCTGAACTATTTAAATTAAAGCGCCAGATGTTTTCAGTCAGGCTATCCTGACAAGACTTGACCGTAACCTCGTTCCTATTGGTCACAACAGTCCAATTGTATTCTTGGCCAATTTTGTCCAACGGACAAAGGAAAAGCAAAGTCCACGGCACCATTGTCTTGTCAAGAGCAAATGGCTTTACTGTTGTGGCAGAAGCAGGAAACTTTTGTTTATTGAAAAAAAAAGAAAAAGCAAGAAAAAAAAAGATACTATGGGGTCAAGTGTAACTCCGTGGAAATGCCACGTCTGCTCTTCAGTGAAGAAGCTGCTTAGAGTCACAGAAACCTTTCTGACTGTATTTATTTATTGTTGCAAAAAAGACGCTTTTTTATTGCTGCCCTCATTTGTCAGCTAATTATTTTTTCTTATAAATTCCAGCCCTGGTTACATGTATCCATCCTATATCTTATCATGATTCCTGTAGGTGAAGTACAAGGCGACCTCTAGATGTCTTTTCTTTCTATGAAAGGAGCTGCTATGTACACATGTGCACACACAACTGGGAATCAACAATGAGTTTATTGTTCATGGTAGACACAGATGAGGCGTGCAGAAAGGCTGGGATAAGTGGTCCTGGACTACAGACTTCGTTGCCTTGAATACACCAGTACAAATTGTCATTTACTCTGCACCAGGCTAAATGAGCAGAATCTATTTGAAGGGATCTTGTTTGTAAACATTTGTCAGATTCTAATTTTTTTCTTTTTGTATTAAAATTCAACTATGGATGTATATGAACCGAAATAAATGGAGATAATTTTTCTCCCACAGATGGAGGTCTCTTTGAATGTGCGCTAATATTACTTGTAAGCCCTTGTGGGGAGAGGGAGGGCCACCAGGAATCACAGGCAGGAGGCCTGAGGTTCTCCAGTAGAACAGAGGCCTTTTTCATAAGTCCCAGTCATCACATCAGAAAATCTCTAGGGAGCTGAGCCCACGTATCAGTTGGTCAGACCTCTAATAACAGGAATATGACACAGTGCATTACCTTCACTCCCACCGTCTGTGATTCTAGGCAAGCTACCAGTCACAGACAGACAGCTCCCTATTGGGTGAAGGTGTTTCGATGACCTTGGCCTCTGCTTTGTGTTGCTTGGGTTCTTTGGGTTTTGTTGTTGCTGTAGGGGAGCGTCCCACGAGCAGGGTGCAGGGTAGAGCAGACAGGTGTGTTCTGCATGTGCCTCCTGCTAGTGTCTTCACCTTCCCCTTGTGCTGTGGGGAGACCAGCCGGAGCTGGGTTGTGCAGCTTCGCAGATGTTTTCCTCGACTTTGCACTGGTCCACGTTAGCCTTGTCCTGCTGAGTTTAGAATCTACCTGGCTTTTGTTTGTTTGCTGTCGCCCTGCTATGCAAAGCCTTCCCCAGCCCCTGGTTTCTCAAAAGGAAACTGTGGCAACAGTTGGCAATTCTTCTTCCAGGCTCAGGTGTCCAGGTTCTTCTGGGGTCACACGCTCTGTGGAACCCACCCCCTCTGTACATAAAGATGTCTCTTCAGCCTGTGCTCACGGCCAAAGAGACTAACTGCTCAATATGGTAACAAAGTTTTTGCTTAAACTATTAAGGTGGAAGTAGTTAAATACAGGCTATTTTGTCCTTTTAGTTTACAAAAAGCAAATGTTCCATGTTGTAAGCACCGTGCTGATGCAAGAATTCTACATTTTAATGATAGAAAGTGATTCTGCATCTAGCCACACTGCAGTATTCCTGTACTATCTCTTCATATATCTAGGTATATATGGGCTCAGTCACGTCAGCTTGTTGCAGCAAGAGCTTTCCTACCTGTAGGCAATAGATTGCTATGTTTTTAACAAATTGTAGCAAATTCTAAATAATTCTTTTTGTACGTAATAGAACATTTCATCCTAAAAAAAAAAATAATAAAGTAATGTTTTTGACATTGGATTCTGTGCAGTTTCTAATGAAACAATGGTTGGTTGGTTCACTGTTTGATACATTTTCTGTAGCTGTTGGCATTGCCAAGTTGTACAGAAGGGGGGGGTGGGCTGTGGATTTCTGAGACTGGGAAGATGTTAATTTCATATTGTGTACTTAATGGTATAAAGACTTTTGCAATTTCTATCACCATATAAAGACATTTTATAATTTTATCAGACTATAGAGCTTTAGTCTTTCAAAAGGAATTTTTGAAAAACGTACATTCTTATTTCACAAGCTGCTTTTCTATGACTCTGATATGAGGAACTCCTGCTACTCAGAGAAAAGTGAAACTGTTCGCTCTGGCAGCCTGAGTGCTCCGATGCACACTGGTGGTGTGGTTAGGATGTTTCTGCCCAGGCTTCGCACCTATAATCTGTACGTTCTTTGCTTTGATAGATTTCTTTGGCTAAAAGTATTTTTAGCATTTCCTGTGCTTCATCTCCAAATTCACAATTTGAGACCATTTCATAAGAGATATTTTCATAATGTCTGTAAGGCTTTTTTCTCCTGAGCAAATTCTTCCGGGTTTGTATTACTGTCCTACAGTAGGTCAACGAAATTGTGATCTTTTGGAGATGTTTCTACAGTAAAAATGACCTTTTTCTATTTGGAGTGGCCTGGAGTGCTGTGTAGGAACCCTGACAATGTGTTGCTGTTTGTAACCTTTCCTCTTACGATCTGCAAATAAAACTTCTTTCCCTGTCTCTGTCCATTTGTGTCAGGTCAGATCTTGGTTCTCGCGTTTCTAATTGATAGAAGAGCCAACCTGGTGGTGGCTGTACACTCAGCCTGACAACATTTTGTGTGTGTGTGTGTGTGTGTGTGTGTGTGTGTGTGTGTGTGTGTGTGTGTTTTATTTTTTGTGTGTATGAGTGTTTTGCCTGTGTGTACCGTGTGTGTGTGTGTGTGTGTGTGTGTGTGTGTGTGCGTGCGCGTGTGCGCGTGCTTGCGCACCTGATGTCCATGGGGATCAGAAGAGGATATTGGATCCCCTGGAACTGGAGTTTACTAAGGTTGTAAGCCACCAGATGGGTGCTAGGAACTGAACCCAGGTCCTCTGCAAGAGCAGCCAGTTATTTTTAACTGCTGAGCCATCTCTCCAGCCCCCGTGGTTCACTCTTGTCCCAGTGGAGGCAGATCCCCAGCAGGGGCTTGAACTTAGGGGTGTCATTCTCTCCTGAGCAAGGTACTGGCTGATGTGTCCATGGAGGTGGGGACAAGGGGAAGGGGGATTCTCGTCATCTGGTGTAGTTTTTAGATACATAGAATGAGATTCTGGGAAAGATATTTCTGAGAATAGTATACCCCTTGATCCAGTGTAAACCAAACTTCAACTAACAAAATACTGTATTTTTAGGCTGGAAGAGACCACGCACTAGTCGAGGGGGTGCCCTGCCAGCCATAGGCAAAAAGTCTTGCACATACATTCACCTGGTCACCTTAAAAATGAGTTCAGAAGAGAATTGCACAATGCCATATGATATTCAGAGGCAGGTTTTTTTTGTTTGTTTTTTTTTTTTTTTGGTTTTTCGAGACAGGGTTTCTCTATGTAGCTTTGTGCCTTTCCTGGAACTCACTTGGTAGCCCAGGCTGGCCTCGAACTCACAGAGATCCGCCTGCCTCTGCCTCCCGAGTGCTGGGGTTAAAGGCGTGTGCCACCACCGCCTTCAGAGGCAGTTTTTAAAACTTAGTATCACACACACCAAGAGGCAGGAGGAGGAGGGAGATTGTCTTCTAGACCTTTCCCTAACAAAAGAAAACCATGTCCTTTTCCCTCCTTGAATCCTTGAAGTACCAGCTTAATTTGAAGGACAGATACTGTTGAATTACCTTGAAGGCAACCGGGTATTTTATTGCTGGGGACTGTTGTGTATGTACATAAACACAAAGGGCCTTTTGTCTTTGCAGCACTGACCCATGTACTAGGGGGGGGGGGTAGAATCTATCAATGGGGCAAGAGGATTACAGACAACAATGATTTGCTTATTAAGTTTTTCTATAAAATTAGAAATTGCAACCAAGGTCCTATGTGAATGTGGAAAAGGTGATTCTTCCAACCTCTTTGCTAACCTGGAATGTCCAGGGTTCTTTTCTGTCTTCTTTTCCACTCTCCAGCCCACCACTTACTGACCATAACTGAACTCCACTAACCTTGCCTTGTAGACCCAGTCTTGAGTGGTGGCTTTTATTTTTTATCCCAGCAATCTCTACAACAAGTGGCCTGCATTTCCGCAGTAATCCTGACCTCCAAGTATATTGAACCTGGGGGTCTGACATGGGTGTTTTTGTGTGTATGTGTCTTTCGGGAGGTGTGTGCTCTGGTGCCCGAGAGGGCCAGAAGAGCGTGCCAGATGCCCTAGAGCTAGAAGTACAGGGGATTGAGAGCCACGTGATATAGATGCTAGGATCTGGACTCCAGTCCTCTGTAAGAGCAGCAAGGATCTTAACAACCGTGCAGTCTTTCAAGACCCCACTTTCCCTTTCTGGGCCAGAGTCTCTTGTAGCCCAGGCTGGCCTCACACTATGTAGCCAAGGATGACCTTTACCATCATCCTGCCTCTACCTCCTGAGTAAGCATTATAGGCTTATTCTACCATCCTTAGCATTCAAAACCAAACAGATTTTACTGAATTTGGACACGTTTCATCTGTGGGAACTTCTCTAGCAGACCAGTTTGAGATACAGCTGCAGAGAGCCTTTGTTTGTCCGGGAGCTGAAGTCTGGGCCAGCTGGCTTCCACAGCAAGTACAGGCCCCAAAAAGTCCCTTCGTAATGCTTTATTTTACTCATGATTCCCATGTCTGAGGCCAAAGAGGCAACAGTTACCATACTGCACATAGCTTCCCCCCCCCCAGACAGGCTGTCCTGGAACTCGCTGTAGACCAGGATGGCCTCAAACTCCCAGAGATCCACCTGCCTCTGCTTCTTCAGTGCTGGGACTAAAGGTGTGTGCCACCTCCCCCAGCAGCTTGTTCTTCTTTGAGACAAGGTTTCCTGTAGCTCAGGTTGGCCTTGAACTCTTGATGCACGCACGCACCCCTCAGATACCACCACATCTGGCTACACCTTGTGCCCTAAGATGTTGCTGCTGGCTTCCCAGTCAACTCTCCATGTTCCTCTGTCTTCCCTTTGACAGTCCTCTTTTTGCCCTCCGTTCTCACTGTGGCTCTGGCTGGCCTGGAAGTCACAGGTAGCCACCTGCCTCTGCCTCTGCCTCTCCAGGATGGGGACTGAAGGTTCGTGCATTCTTAGCGTCTATTCTGAAATTAACTGAAGTACATCCTGACCATCTGAAAGAAAATCAGGATGTCCTTGTGGACTCGAAGATAAGGTAATTAAATTGAGCTAGTGATTGAAGGTTTTTCACACATAACGAAATGGCTCCACAAAACTGGCCTGTGCACTGTCACGGATCAACACTGTTTTCAGGGTTTGGGAAGTAAGCTTGAGAAAGGCTTTTTCTCAAATCTTTAGGATCACTGAGGAAAAGAAAGAAAAAATAGCCAGGTGCATCCAAGATCTGATTTCAAGGCAAGATTTCTTGCTTTACCAACACAATGGTGATCCTGAGTCCTAACAGAAAAATGACATCAGATACACCAGAAAATGTGCTGGAATAGAAGCCAGTTTGGTACAAAACAAGTTATTCGGAGCAAGGGTGCATGACAGTGCCCAGAGTTACATCAGGAACACACTTGGAATGATAGTTTGCTTGAATTAGCCCTGGAAACATAATTTTCATACTTAGCCTGGGTTCTGACCCTAGTATATGATCTAAGTGACATTTCATATGTAAATGAATTCTGACAGGGATGTTTACGCTCGTGTGGAATTTAAAACTCAATGCTTTAAATACAAAATCTTGACACATGATAGATACTATTCAAAATTGTATATTTAAATTCAAGAAATGTTTTGTGAACTATTTCTACTGAAAAAAAAATGTATTAAATTAAAATAACTTAAAAAACAACACGAAGTGGTGTGGTCTGTTGACCTGGCAGGTCAGGTGTCTGAGCTGTGTGTGTGTGTGTGTGTGTGTGTGTGTGTGTGTGTGTGTGTGTGTGTGTGTGTGTGTCACTGTAACTTTCCCACTGTGCTCTGGAGCATACCTTGTCAGCGTTTTGTAAGTAAAGTGGCAGCTTTAGAGCTAAGCTGCAAAGTCGTTCTTAAGGTAGCTAGCTGTGGGCCAATTTCAGACAGAAGGACCCCGCTGGGACCAACCACCTTCCGTGTCTTCCTGCTGAGTTCCAAGTCTCTTGGGTCCCACGCGTGCCAGGTTGGTCTGTTCAAATGCACGGGGTGTGGGTGGCACCTCGAACTTGCCACTCCCGTTTTCGGTTAAATCTTTTCACGTAGCTGCTGCTACCCCTGAGCAGTCCGTCTCCTGGCCGCAGGCGTCCTCTCAGGACCTGGAGCAGAGCAGTAGGGAGCTGCCGTCTCTTATGGTAGATGTGGCCCATCACAATATACCGGCTTCCTGAACAAAAGAACCAGAAGAGAAATGGTGTCATTTACATGTTGAGAAATGTGAAATCTGAGCTTGACTTTATCTTGCAATGCATGTGGCAACTTATCTAACCTATAGGCAACAGGTGGACAATCTAAAGAAAAGATAACCTGCAGACAGCTGACATTACAGAACAAAGCCCTGTCTGCCCCAGAACATCTCTAGGAAGATAGGGAACAGGTAGCCCCAACACTACCACCAACCCCAAAAGGCCCTTCTCAACTCAGTGCTGTACAGTTGAGCTCCTGATTCACCACACTTGAAAATGGTGTTTTGAGGCTGGTGAGATGGCTCAGCGGTTAAGAGCACTGGCTATCCTGAGCACTAGAGGTCCTGAGGTCAATTTCCAGCAACCACGTGGTGGCTCAGAACCATCTCTAAAGGGATCTTCTGTATAATGCAGGCATACAGACAGAGTACTCGTAAGTAAGTAAGTAAGTAAGTAAGTAAATAAATAAATAAATAAATAAATAAATAAATAAATAAATGCACTTAAGGGGAAAAATGTGTTTTGTCATGAATATGTGTCAACATATCAGTGTTTGTGATGCTTTGGTTTGGGTTGGTTGGCTGGTGTTTAGAGACAAGGTTTCTCTGTGTGGCCCTGGCTGTTCTGGTACCAAGCTGGCCTCAAACTCACGTAGATCCCCCTGCTGCTGCCTTCCAAATGCTGAGACTCAAGGAATGTGCCATCATGCCCAGCATTTTTTGGTTGGTTGGTTGGTTGGGTTTTGTTTTTTTTTTTTTTCTTTTGAGAATGTATATTAGCCAAAGCTGGCCTTGAACTCTGTATGTAGAGGATTTTGACCTTGAAGTTCTGATCATCCTGCCTCCTGGGTATTGGAGTAGCAGGTGCACACTATCAATCCTGGCCTATTTTGTGCCAATCGCTGTTCTTATCTTTATGGGAGAGCTGAAATGGTACTGTAATCTAAATTCTATTGGTTACACTACTGTCCCACAAAGCTTGGATTGAGCCCCACCAATATCCTAGCATGTGTTTAAGCAGGACAGCCATGAGTTCGAGGCCAGTGTGGGTTCCATATCAACAGCCTATCTCTTACAAATTCTGGGAGTGTAACGGATGGTGTGCTTGCCTGGCACGTGTGAGGCCCTGCTCAATCCCTAGTCTTTGAAATGGGGTTTGGGGGGTATGGTAACCCACAGAAGTTGGGCTGCAGCATTCAGGTCCCCAACAGCAGGATAGAGGACACATATGGCCGGGGTGGTGGTGCACACCTTTAATCCCAGCACTCGGGAGGCAGAGGCAGGCAGATCTCTTGAGTTCGAGGACAGCCAGGGCTACAGAGAAACCCTGTCTGGAGAAACTAAATAAAGGACATGTATGAGCTAGTCTTTGGGTCAGTTTCGATACCAGGTTTAAGTTCTGGACACGGCTTATGGCAATTGGAGGAGTCCAGGGCTAGAATCTGCACGCGGAAGAAAAAGCCGTCGGGAGTGATGTACAGGCGGCTCATCTTGTACAGCCCTTCGGGGTCCACCAGTAGAGTCACCAGCCGCAGGCCCGCGCCCAGCACGTCCACGTCGTGCACGATTCCGTTCACGGCTGCTTTGGGCAAACGGGATTTGGAGAAAAGCATTACAACTAGCGCCAGGGTGGGGACGGGCGCGCGGGCTCCCGGGAGGGTGCGTGCGCTCACCGAATTCGCTGGCGCAGTAGGCCTCGCGCTCGTCCGCGTCCCCGCTGCAGGCGCGCGCGCACGACTGGGTCTCCAGCTCGGCGTCCTCGGGCGGCAGCGCCCGCGGGCTTCCAGAGGG